GGGGGGAGCTAGCCAAAAGGGGCCCACATCAGCCAGAATCGTAACTACAATTATAGAGCAATATATATATAGTAAGGGGGGGGGGCAATTACTTTTTATTCGGAGGGGTGGGCATCTTTTGTAGTTACGCCACCTGTTCAAAGTTTCCTGTGGGGTGGTAGGTAAACATTTGAATTGAAATGTAAAATAAAAATTGCCGTACTTAAAGCTTAATTCATTTTCTATTTTGTGACTTCATAATTAATCCGCAATGATGCAAAAAGACACCAGAATGCTTTCATCATATTTGTTTTGAGGTGATGTTTCAAATGAACATTTTATCGCGTTTGTGAGCTGTTCGTTAGCTTGTCAGTTGTTAAGTGCTAAGCTATACGATGGGCTATATGAACTGTGTCCACTACAAGTCCGAATTTTAGCGTTATAAACTCTTCTTAAGCTTATCTCTTAAATTGATGGTTTGTTCAATTTTGCGCAAAACTGACTGAGGGATATGGGCTAGCCGTTCCTAATTTTGAAATGATACACTAGTCAACGCCACCTATCGCCAACTCGTGGGCCACTGTAATCGAATAGTCGAATTTGACCGTCACTGTTACAAACCACCCGAGGTGTGCGAGTTTTTATTATTGTTTTTTGTTTCTTTGCGGTAGCGAGCGCGAACCACGGAATCTCAGTGTATTATATATATATATATATATACTGATCTTAGAATCCTGGTAGTCTGTGACTTGTAATCTGTAGGTTGCGGGATTGGAACCCGGTGTCGAACATGCTCACCCTTTCAACCATGGAGACGCTATAATGTGACAGTCAATTCCACTATTCGTTCGTATGGAGGAGTCCAAAAGTTAGCGTTGGGTGCAGCCGGCCCATTAACTTTCCATGTGGTCATAATTTCAAAATTAGGGACGGCGGTAGAGCCTTAGTAACTTTACCATGAACAAAGATGTTTAAACGATATGGATTTGTAAAATCATATGATTTGTTTCTCGTTCAGTATTTTTTAAAATGTCGTACTTCATGAATGTATTACAGAGATGGAAATTAGATGATTTGCTCTTATCTGTATAATTAAAAGTTTAACGTGAAGTAGAGCTTTTAAACTTCATTAAACTATGCAAAAGTGAAATTATGGAAGTAAAGACGACGTCACCGTATGGGTAAGGGAGCGGTGGGTGTTGATAATACTTCTTTTTTCTACCTTAACCCCATCTAGATTTGGGGTCTGTCGCTCAGGTATTTTGTATTAGCCATGAATTTTTACACTCGTGTGTATAGCCCTGAGAGCAACCTTAACGGTCAAGCATGTGATGAAGATTCGAACCCCCCGACTCGCAGCTTGCGACTCGAACGCCCAAACCACCAGATCATGACAAGCCAGGTTGGTGTCGTTAGGGAATAGATCTTTCATCTCTCGGATCCCCAACGCAGACTGGAGTGTTTATATGTTAAGGTTTTGTGCGTAATTTTTTTATATGTTTATAGACACTTACAGTACCGGTACTGTCACTCTGTTGAGTTTTAATGATTTCCCCCGACACTCAGGTTTTGAAAGCGTTACTAGATCTGCTGTCTCTTACAAGATAACTTGATCGGTTTGCCACTTTGAATCTGACAATCCGGCTCAGAGTGTATTTTGTACTAGAGGGTAGGTATTGCGTGTTGTGAAATAGGTTTAACCTTGCTGTTATTGAAACGCCCCGCATGGCCATTCGTTCAGCACACTACATACCTAACCTCTTTGACAACAATATATTGCTAATTATAAAGTTCCTTTGAAAAAAAACCTTAAAGTTACAATAATAATCTGTTAACAGGGTGTTACATACAGGCCCGGCATGGCTAGGTGGTTAGGGCGCTCGACTCGCAATCTGAGGGTCGCGGGTTTCAATCCCACTATTCGTTGGTAAAAGAGTAGCCCAAGAGTTGGCGGTGGGTGATGTTGACTAGCTGCCTTCTCTCTAGTCTTACACTGCTAAATTAGAGACGGCTAGCGCAGATAGCCCTCGTGTAGCTTTGCGCGGAATTCAAACCAATTACAACATATAAAGCTAAACTACTTTATTTATTTCTGTACTTGGTGAAGAAAAAAAAAGATATTGACAAAATGCCTTGATATATTAGCACTTAACAATAAAGTTATAAAAATAGTTAATTAAAACCATTTTCAATCAAATATATGGAATAAATGAATGAAGCTCCATTTCTACATTCGAATGAACAAGCTAAGGGTTAAAATATTTGTTTCAATTATATATATAGTTCACCGATTTTTCCAATGAAAACATCACATTTTTTCTCTAATTTTTTAAATAAAGAAAAAGAACATTTTATTACATTTTACGGCAGTGTTTTTTGTTGTTTTTTTTTCCGGCAGAATTTTCTCATCGATAGCAAGTTGATCAAACGTAAATTATTTCCAGGAAAGTTCATATTTCTTGTTTTATTTTTACAGAAGTAATTTGCATTTTAAAATATGCGTCTCATTACTGCAGACCCTTCTAGAAAATCCTTTTAATGAAAGTCGAAGCGTATCCTTATTTTAGGCGGAAAATTTCAACAATCGATTAGAAACGTCACGTTCGCTTTTACCTATTCCAAAGTGAACCTTCTGAAACTTGCAAGCGTAGTGGAAATGATTAATGGGAAAAGGCATGGCACGCATTGACATATGTACTGCTTTTAAATTCTACAAGTGTTATATTATTTTATCATACTTGATTGCACCATATCTTAGTGTAAAGTATATATTTCTGCACTTCAAAGCTATATTACGATTAACAGTTTACGCATGGTACGGTTATTGGTATATATATATATATACACACACACACACACACACAGGGGCGTAGCCAGCACTACAGGAAGAAGGGAAATATTTTTCTAAACACAAAGAGTTTGAGTGATTTACATGAAACCTAAGTGTTTATTTTTAAAACAAACAGAAGACAGTAGACATTTTAGACTTTTTAGATTATTGGGGTGGTCCTTTGACCCTCCACCCAATTCCCCACCTCTGGCTCTGCTCCTAACAGACTGACACATACGACTAAACCAATCTTTGTGTTGTTATATTTTTTATTTTGTTTTCATCACGAGATGTTTTTTTATGATCATTAGACAGCAATCTTTTAGAATTTGGATATATTTACATCAGTTTCTTAAGATTTATTCAAGTTCTGAGTTTCACTAAATTTTGTTTTTATAAGTAAAAAGTTTCATTAGTTTCTAGTTTCCGTTGTTGTTGTTGTTGCCTTTTCCTAAAGGTTTTATGCTAATATTGTTCTTGAAAAATATTCAAGTTCAAAGCAATTAATGAAACTTCTAATGCGCAGACTCGTTCCTATGACAACTTAGCTAGAGTTGGTAACTGTTCATACTTTCGTTCTGAAAGTGGTGTGAATACCAAATAATTCTCAAACTGATTATTTTACAAATTATATTGTAGGGTATCAAATCGAGTAAATGTCCAATAATTTAACATAATAATTAATCACGAAAATTTTGTATATATCTGTTCCCATGGTAACCATAAGTAACATTATTGGTCATACTAAATCCTTACACTTAAGAATTATGTAACAGAACGTAATTCCCAGATTTTTTTAGCGATTGATTACAGTTACTCTACATATGTACGTGTAACAAACATATAAATGTATGCATGCGTAAAAGTTGATTGGTTTATAGAAATTGCTAACTTCTATACCGTTACAAAGTACAAAACATTGGTTTGTGTTGAATTTTGCGCAAAGCTACACGAGGGCTATCTGCGCTAGCCGTCCCTAATGTAGCAGTGTAAGACTAGAGGGAAGATAGTTAATCGTCACCACCTACCGCCAACTCTTGGACTACTCTTCTACCAACAGATAGTGGGATTGGCCGTCACATTATAACGCCCCCATGACTGAAAGAGCGAGCGGTGGGATGGTGATTCCAACCAGCGACCCTCAGATTACGAGTCAAACGCCCTAACCACCTGGCCATGCCGGGCCACAGAACATTGTCTCATGCTAGAAACATAATCAGAGGTAAAGTTTTAGATTGTGTTTATGGGCGTGTGTTACCAAGAAAACAATTGGCCTTGTTTTACAGGATTTGGTTAAAAGTATCAGTTGTGTCGATTTCAGTTACTTATACTGGAAGTAGTAATAAAAAAAGTAATGGGGTTTGTTTGTTGTAAAGCACAAACCTACAAAAGAGGCGAGTATCGAAACCTAATTTTAGCGTTATAAGTCTACCGAGTTACCAGTGAGCCACCGGGGGGTCGGATTATAAGTGCATGGTGGTTCTTTGAGTGTAGAGAGTACAGATATTCGAATTACATGTTTGTGCTGAAGTTTATTAGGCATTTAAGCAAACCATTTCTTGTTCATTTAATCCTCAAATAATAACATAAAAAGAATGTAGATAACTCACGAGATAGTCTATACACTTTAATAAATATACATACACTGGTTGCAACAAAATATGCCGAACAAAACTGCTCGAGAATTTACTACACAATTTATTTAGTGATAATTTGATTTGAAAACACACACTTTGTAAACATATGAGCGAAAACGCGGAGTACAAAGTTACGTTTCCTGGACTGGTTTAAAACCTTGTATTTCAACTATGGCCAAACGTTTTACATCGCGCTAGAATTTTAGGAACATGATTGAAACAAGGTTTATATGAACATAATTTAGAATTTATATTTGACATCATTTCATTCATCAAATAAACTACAAAATGGCATCTCAACAATCTACCGGAAGCCGTAATAGTAGTGCATGGTATTACCCGTGCATTTCATGCTTTTTCAAGACGTCCTTAATTAATCTTCTCAATATGCCACTGAAGAGTCAATTTATCCTTCTGTATATCGTTTAAGCGTAATGTTATTCAACAGGTTTCATTCGACTTTATGAAGTAACGTTATGTAATTCTAGGTAAATGCAAAACTTTGGGCCAAAGTTGAAAATTGCACGTAAGATAAGTGTTCTGTTTCAACTTACCTGTTGCTTCAGTGGCTGATTCTCCATTTGCTTGACCATTAGTTGAATTGCCATTTGTCACTTCAGGATTTGTAGACTTGGGTGATTTTAAAGACGTGACTTCTGTTCCGTCAGCTGCTTCTGGGGGCGCAGCGTGAGCAAGGGCAGCGGCTGCCCCAGCCTTGGTATTGGCACATCCCATAACGAGTAAACGGAATTTCCAAGAAGTTTTAAAAATAATACGCCTTTGTTTGTATTAAATTTAAAAAAATTGTGGGCAAAATAGTCAGATGAAATTTTCACGGTCAAGGTTACTACTAAAGGGGCACTCCTGAATACAAGTTAATTCTAAAGGGGCACTCCTGAATACAAGTTAATACTAAAGGGGCACTCCTGAATACAAGTTAAATCGAAACAAAATATAAAGCTGGAATTACGTTCAGCCAATCAACGTCTTCAGACTTCTTTATTCCTCAATTTATATACTACAACTCCAGACTTGGCTTTTGTATTTGAACTTAAGCGCAACAGAACATTAAGTGTTCACGCTTGTCGTTAATGGAGATGAAATAATGTTTAACTACAAGTTTGTTGTTGTTTTTTCGATTCATCAAAATGTATACCAGTAGTCTAACCAGCAATCAGAACATTTCTTTACAAATCGGACAATTAAAATGATTTTACTTCGTTCTATTACAGTAATCACTCGTTTTTCAAACCCTTGCAGCTGAGCTATTTGCAAGGCCGAGGTCTTCAGCACCGTGTTGATACTTGTAGTTTGTTTTCCGCGATTCTCACCACTGAGTTTTCTCGAGTGGAATGCAGACTTCGTGATGATTGTTGGATCGAAGTGAGCCTGCGCTGATCGAGAACGTTATTGGGGATACGGGGTAGTCGTGCATATAAACAAGCAGGTTAAATGACTGGTATCCTTCATATAGACTGATTTGGTAACATGAGTTATTTGAACTACGATAATAGATGAATACCCTCATATAATTATACTATATCGTTAAATATCATTATTATTATCATACTATTTTCACAGTTGAAGGCTTTACCAGTTATACCTCTATGCTATGTATAGGGCTGTCGTGATAGTTAAGAGCTTACACAAGAGTTTTCAAAATAGATTTCTGTAGAATAATTTAAAAACGCATCACTCGATATGATAATTATATGGCATTATCTAATTAAATATATTCTCTAAATAATGCGGCACAGCGGCATGTCTTCGGACTTACAACGCTAAAAACCGAGTTTCGATACCCGTGGTGGACAAAACACAGATAGTCCATTGTGTAACTTTGTGCTAAACTTCAAACAAACAAACAAAAATTCTAAATAATTATCTTTAAAAGAATATGTGAGGTTAGTGACATATAATGTGGTGAAGTGATCCTATTTCAACAATTTAATATTCCAGTTAAAAGACAGCCCTAGAATTTCTCGACACCCTCTCTCCAACCACTTCGAATCCACCTGCCAAGCTTGGTCTTTCTAGCTCCAAAACAAACTTAAATTAACATATGATTCAGCAATACCAATTCACTAGCATGATTTTCCCTGTTATTATTTGTTTCCCACTTTTACGCTAAGACAGAAATTGATTAGATTTAGTATAACCATTTAAACAGTGGTTAAACCTTATGAATAGGAGGGAGGTGGTTCGATATGGTTGAAATGTGTGAATAATAGTTTCTACTGTGTACTTCCTTTAGTGTCGTTTGCACGTGAAAGTGCTTCCATTAGTCGTAAAAACGCAGTTGCGAGATATGAAGATACAAAATACGATAACGTAAATAATACTGTTTATAGCAAGAGAGCCTTTCGAACAAATCATTTAATTATTGTTAATATACCATACAAATTCAAGATTAGAACTGTATGGAGTTTATCGCGTGACCTAGTGGCTAATGTGTTGGGATGCTAATCAATAGATCTGGATCTTTGCGTGACCTAGTGGATAATGTGTTGGGATGCTGATCAAAGGATCTGGATCTTTGCGTGACCTAGTGGATAATGTGTTGGGATGCTGATCAAAGGATCTGGATCTTTGCGTGACCTAGTGGCTAATGTGTTGGGATGCTAATAAAAGGGTCTGGATCTTTGCGTGACCTAGTGGATAATGTGTTGGGATGCTGATCAAAGGATCTGGATTTTGAAACATGATGCCACTGAACCCGCTCCGCATCTTCAACTGTGAGTTATAAAAATGATCAATCTCGTTATTAGGTTCAGAAAGTTATATTTCTCTTATATTTTCTTGCATTAAGAGCTATTGGCTCCAAATTGTGATTATTGCTTTAATCTTGATACCTCGTGAGCTTGAACATATCTGCTCCTAATGGTATATACAAAATCATCCTTACGTTCTACGTGTAAGGCTTGCGAATAGAAGTTAAATATGTTGGCAGTGTTGGGTTCTATTTCTGCAGTTGCTTACCACCCTAAGATTGAGTCTATAATGACTCCCGGTAAAATCCGGGGTTCGATTCCCCGCGATGGACACATCAGCTAACCCAACGTGGCTTTGCTCTAAAACAAACAGACCATTTATACTATTTGAAAATAAAAATTGAGGAGTTCGTCTAGTTTTCAGTCATTGTAAAAAATTAACACTTTTGAAAAAATGTTTCACCAAAAGCAATAAGTGCAATTTTTCACCTTTGTGCAACAATGCATGTCATATATCATTTCTTCGACATCGAGTTACCAATAAGACTTCTGTGACCTTTCTGTAATTACTATTCAGTTCTCTTTGCTAGATTTATGCATTATATTATATTGAAATTACACCAAGTAAAAATTGCTGTTTTTTTTTCGTTCTTAATGCGAAAACGCAGTATTTTAACACAATAACGCTTTTGATAAGACGTTATACATATATTTAAAGACAGAGAGAGCGACCACTTATTTAGGTATATTAATCATGCAAGGACACTAATTACTTTGTAAAATCTACCAAAAAAATGACAGAGAAGGAAAGCAAAGCTTACTTGCAAACATGTCAATAGAATTTAGCAGTTTTGTGATTGTTTTTATTTTTCTCACACAGAGATATACAAAGGTTGTCTGCGCATAACTTTCCTCATATAATGATGAACTAGCAGATTAAAGATGTGATACAGGACGGTACCATGTGTTTTCTAACTCCTCAGTTAATGGGCCTGGCATGGCCAGGTGGTTAGGGCGCTCGACTCGCAATCTGAGGGTCGCGGCTTCGAATCCCCGTCACACCAAACATGCTCGCCCTTTCAGCCGTGGGGGGCGTTATAATGTGTCGGTCTATCCCACTATTCGTTGGTAAAAGAGTAGTCCAAGAATTGGCGGTGGGTGGGGATGACTAGCTTCCTTCCCTCAAGTCTTACACTGCTAAATTAGGGACGGCTAGCGCAGATAGCCCTCGTGTAGCTTTGCGCGAAATCCATAACATGTTACAAACAAACTGTTCTGTAGTTTCGAATTACGGACAATGGCAGCTACTCCTATCTTTTTGTGACACAAGTCATTATTGGCCTTAACCTTGTTCTTTTATTTTGTCCCTATAACATTGAATAGCAGCATTATTTGTTTGTTTGTTTTGGAATTTCGCGCAAAGCTACACGAGGGCTATTTGCGCTAGCCGTCCCTAC